TTCGCTTTCCGCACACACACACACACACACAGCCTCTCGATAGTATGCTTTTTGCAGGCTGTAGCAGCGCTATAGCGCATGAAAACGCATAAAAACGGGAGGATCACACATGGTATGGGCACATACTGCCAAAGTTTCAATCTTCTAGCTTTTCTAGTTCTCAAGTTGAAAGTGGGTGACAAAAACTGCGAACACACAGACACACATACAGTCTCTTTCCAATATGCGTTTTTGAAATTTGCATTTATGCAGAAGCGCACCAAAACCATAAAAAGGCACGTTGTCGAGATCCTGTGTGTGTATGTGTGTCCCGAGTGCGTTTTATCTGGTATTTCGCTTCGGGAACCAAAGGAGCTAGGAAGTTGAAATTTTGAGAGGGGCCCTCTGCCCTCGTGTATCTTGCAACCCCAAATTCGGTCTCTGTGCGCGTCTTGGCTTCGCGTACTTTTGCGTGAAAGTTTTGACGCTTAAATTGATAAGTCGCGGGGTACAGGAGGTAGAAAGCTGGAATTTTAGGAGGGTGTCCCTTGCCCGCATACGATCCCTCTAAAACTCAAATTCATCTTCCCTGCATGTCTTGATCTCACATAGTGACGCGTAAAGCTTCTGAACGCCAAAATTAGTAACTCGGGAACCATAAAAGCTAAGAAGGTGAAATTTCAAAATAGCCCTCCTCCTGCGTATAAATTCAGTTCCGCACGCGCCTCAGCCTCCGGTATGGACATGCGAAAGTTTTGGCACTAAAATTAGTAACTCAGAAGCCACAAATGCTATGAGGCTGGAATTTTAGGATAATGCTCCCTGCCCGCATATAAATTCATCCTCGCGCTTGTCTTGGTCTCACGTACGGGCAATTGAAAATTTTGGCGACAAGATTAATTTGCGAACTACAAACAGCAGTGTTTTGGCACCGAATTAACATATAGCTTAACAAACAGTAATGCAGTGAACACTTTTAACAGCAAGGTTTCCCTGAACAGAACTGTAAAATCAACAGCTGGGCCGAGTTGCTAAAGTATCCGCCGAACAGAATTGCCTAAGCGTTTACTGGACTGACTGTATAAAACTCAAGGTCGCACGAGCTACCTTGGTGTGTGGCTCTATTTATTAAACTTTTTCCATAATAGACTCACTTGGCTCTTGTCTTCGTTTCAGTGTTTATTCAGGATTTTCAGACTAAACTTTCTGTACAAACAAATATTACATGCAGGTTACTGATTGTTCATTTTGATTTGTCACAAAATTTTTATTGACTGCTGCAGCCTATAGAGGATTTTAGGACAGAGTATGCGAATATGAACAGGAATCCTCAGAAATGGAATATGCAGATCCGCGGAGAAGTGGCGTTCGGATAACGGTGCAAGATCCTGCTGTTTACGGAAGACAAGTTCATCATTGCCATATTTCAGCAAATAATTTAAAAAAAAAAAAAACGCTCTTTCCCTGAAAGTAATACACTGAAGAGCAAATTGAGCAAAAATTATCCTTGAGGGGCGATTCACAAGAATTTTTTTTCAATTTTTTTCAAAGGTTTTTATGCGTTTTTGCATATATACGAAAAAACATATTTTGACGAAGCCGGTGTGTGTGTATGTATGTGTGTGTCTGTCCGGGTATTTCAACTCGGCACCCAAACAAGCTCCGGCGCCAAAATTTCGCGAGTGGGTTCTCCGGCCAAGTGCCAACCCAGGACCGCGGTGCCAGCTCTCAAGCACGTCTTGGCCCCGCGTACGAGCTCTTCAAAGTTGTGGCGGGACTCGGGGACCAGAAAAGCTAAAAAGCTGAAATTTTGGGATTATGTTTCCAATCCAAATAGAACTCAAAGATTTCAAATTCAGCTCCCAGGGGTGCATGGTTCTCGCGTACGATCCCATGAGGGCTTGGGAACCAAGAAAGCTGGGAGGCTGAAACTTTCAGCGAATTTTCTCAGTTCATCTACAACTTAAATTTATCAAATTCAGCCCCCCATTATGCGTGGTTACCACGTACGGCCCTACGAAATTTTCTGGCTGGAATTTGGGTAACTTGGGACTGAGAAAGCTGGGAACCTGGGATTTCGAGGGAATTTTCCCTGTCCAAGTATAGCGTGGATAATTAGCTTCCCGAAATTCGAGGACCAGTGTGTACAAGAGGTTTCTAGCTAGCGGAATTTCGAGTGATCTTA